CTTTTGTACTTTTACTGAAGTAACATTTTGAAATCAGGCCTTTTACTTGCAATGGAGTACTTTAAGACCATTGTAGTTTTACTTTTACTTAAGTAAAGGATCAAGGATAAAGGAGTGCTTCTTCCAACACTGGGCTTCACTCAGTTTCCTCCAAGTCCTTCCCTGTTTTTTTCCGTCACCGTTTAGTACTAATGTTGAGTCATAGACTGCAGCAACAGTCTGAGCCTTGTTGACGTGAGAATAATCATAAAATATCGTCATATCAATCTTTCGCTAAAGTTGAAACATCTTAACTCACACAGATGTGTTAGTATATTATATTCACTTTTATTTTCCTATATCTCTCCATCTCCAATACGTCTATCTCGTTTCCTTTTTCTTTCTATATCTTCAGTTTCCATATATTTTCTTTAGTGTTGTTTGCTTTATGGTTGAGAGTAATAATAACTACAGCAGCAGCTAAAACATTGAAATCTGACTAACTTTGATGCAGAGTATGACGTTTTAGCTGGCATGGAAGTAAAAGTACTGTACTGTAAATGTAAAGCTAATATCATCCATATATTTACCTCAGTAATGGATACCTACTCCCATATTTTTGTTTGTGTTGATGTGTAAGTTGTAAGTGTTTAGGATTATAGTCCGCATTTAAAAAGGTAAAAGCCAAGGTACTGATGAAAGCCAATAGGCTGACAGATCATTCAAGTGTCTAGGTTAAGACGTGTGTGATTAGCGTTTAGATAAAGCAGATAACGTCTTTGTTTTCAATCTATTTCCAAAACCAGATAATGCAAAGTTATTTTAGCCACTTGTCAAAGTGTGTAAGGATCGATTTGAAGAGCTTAGACACCGAAGCGTCACACAATGCTGCTATGTTCCAGGTATGTGAGTCCAGGTGCCGCTATTCACGTCAGAAACAACATCTCCCGCTTCACTTCCTCAGACGAGAGGAAAAAAAACCTCCCAAGGGTGAAACTGAAAGTGAGAGAAACAGGTTGCCTTCCCTGCAAGGTCAACCAGCTGCCACAGTCAATGAGCCTCTTCAGACTGTATGAGTCAACAAAGCACAGAATCAATTCCAAGCATTTGTTTGTCATGGATGTAATACAGCCCTACGACCCCACCACAAAAACATACACAAAAGCCCCCGAGAGCCTAATGGGAGGCTTTTGTCTACAAGATGTCCTCAATATCTTTACAGGTTGTTTTTTATTTATTTCTGCTTGTGCGAGTGGAGACACCCGTTGGTGCTGTCTGTTTGTGTTTATCCCTGTGGACAAACCCGCAGCTTCATCAAGGGTGCTATGGAAAGGACAGTGTGTCATGAGGGAGCGAGCAGCACGGTGCCGCATTGTTTTAGAGGCTGGATGAGTCACTGAAGACAAATCAGCGTTGGTGGCATTTGAGAAGGCTCGTCCATTGCATTATGACAGCACTGTGTATATCAACAGTGGGATTATAACGTGTTCCCATGGTGCCGGTTTGTGCAGGTCAGACAAGGTTTTCATTAAGGCATAATGTAACCTAATTTCCTGAGAGACAGTTACATGTTACGATTGTAATTTGTTTCTGCAGGAGAATACCTCCCACTCTGCTGTCTCTGTCAACCTTCCTCATCAAAACGAAGTTATAATTCTCCAAACATCAAGCCGTATTTATAACACCTAATACACGATTTGAGTGCAGCATTGCTGTGACTATTTCAATAAATTTCTATATGACTCACCGAAGAAATTCAAAAGCTCATGCATCATCAAAAGAGCAGACAGCAGATTCTGCTTTGCTTTAGTCATGGCTGAATTACTTCTCATCTATATCGTCATTTTTGGGTCCCTACTTCAATTATATGTTTCTTTTGACAAAGTCTGAAATTCAAATGAGGCGCTTGACATTGTGTCGATTTAAAGGGAGAATGTGGTTTTACGAAAATGTGAACCAAACCCCCCCCCCCCACCATCTCATTCAGGTTTTTATCACATTTCAATATAATGTTGCTCAGTGGGGTTTAGCTTTCTTTGAGTGACTGCCTTTCATCTTTTCTTTTTTTTTGCTCTGTTCTGATAAAAGCACAATTACACAAAATTGCCCACCTACAATAGTGGGAGCTAAAAACGCATTCATTTCGTTTTTGACTTTCAGCTTACATCCCCCACGTTCATCCCGTATTTCAAGTGTATGCAGGTGACAGACTCCGAGTATAATCTGTTTCCCCCCCCCTCTGCTCCCCATTTCTCTCTTTTTCCACCCCTGAGTCTCTTTGTGTCTCGCTCTCTCTCTCTGACCCCCCTCACACACACTGCCAACGTGAGATAGCCATGTCTGTGTGTCCAGTGCAGTGTGTCATGTGTGATAATGTGTGACGTACGCTTCACGTGCCAGCGGTTTTAGGGTTCCACTAGAAGCTACTTATTATTGTTATCGTTTTTCGGCATCATCATTATCAGCTGGAGCAGACGCCACGAGTCCCACTGCGTCATTGTTTCTCCCCAAAAACCCTAAAGCTCCAGCCGCCAAAGCTACCAGCAACTTAACCAACAAAGGAGGGAAGAGAACACGTCGAAAATCACTCTGGCACTCTTTCAACATCCCTCCCCTCGTCCATCCTCTCATCCACGGCCTGCACACCCCCCCCCCTCTGCACTGTCTCCGTTGTTTTCTTCTTCCTCTCTATCAAATGTTCACTTCTTTTGTCTCATGCACTCTTTCTTATTCCATCGCACTCTATCTTTCTGCGTGACACGCTCTGCCCTCGTCCGCTGTCTTTGTCCGCCATTATCTAAACCACCCATCTCCTCATCGTTCCCTCAAACCCCCTCTCTCATAGTCAGAAAAAAATCACAACCTACACACAGATAAACGCACAACCCAACACACACTGACACAGGGACACTGTGCGTGTAAATAGTCTCACCCCTCCCAAAACCTTCTTCCATGCACACACTCTCCCAACCCCACCCCACCCCCCCCCCCACCCCACCACCACCACCTTCTACTCTCTCCAAACCCCCCCCACCCTAATCCTAATCACACCACCACCACCGTCATCAGCCCTTATCTCACTCCACCAAATCTGCTGTGACTCAAAACAATTTCCTCTCATTTGCGATTTTTACTGCCCACCCCCGCCTCCTACACCTCCATCAAACACCTACCCCCTCCAATAAGCCCTCTCCACCTCCTCAATACCCCATCGCTACCCATCAGGCGCGAACCCCACCCAAACGCACAGGCACACAAACACATATACAAATGCACTCACGTACACACACTCTGACTGGTCGCCATTAAGAATGACGGCTGATGGTGTGTAAGCGGTGACTTGCCACTGTCATCCAGTGGAGCCCGAGAAGAACTGCAGTGTGACGTCACGGCGGACGACGGCCGCGCTGGTTGGTGGATCATATTTACGTGTGTGTGATTCTGAGCGTGTGGTTGGGTTGGGGGAGCCGGAGGAATACAATTTGGTGGGTGGGTGGACCCGGTGGGCCTTGCTGCATCACTGAACCATGGAAATGAATGAGAGCCTACGCTAGGTGTCACCCCCTTCCTCTCCCGTTGGCCTCTGCTAATTTCTCTTTCTATTTTTTCGCTTTTCTCGTCTCCTTTTAGCCCCCGAAGCAAAGAAAAACATTTGAAACTGCTAATTTGAGTTTGATAATATGTTGGACGGTATGTTGCAGAGAAGCTTGGCTGTGTTTGAATCAGCTGAAGGAGAAGCATATGTTTAGAATGATTTGATTAAATTATAAGAAATCCATTCAAAGTTCAGTGAAGCAGGCTGATGTGCCAGAAATGTTGATCGTTTGAGTTTCAGCCAGAGCAAAACAGCACCACCCGATGGGAGGTTCACACAGCCGCAACCAGAGAGGTGTTACTATGGGAGAAGGAATACAACACGAAGAGGCGACAGGATACAAGCAAGTGTGCTGTTTACAGTGACAGGCGCAGTGATTTACCTCAGTGAGGCGAAAAATATATATGAGTGAGTCACACCACGTCAGGTTTTTTTGTATCTCTGCCGTCATGAGATAGTTTGACAGCCGACAGCAAAAGAAGATGGGAATTCTACTTTTAGCTTTTAGCTGTTTGTTGAATAAAATAAAAAGGTTATTCTGAAATAGCTCTTACATATGATGTCGAACTTTGTTGTAATAATCATTAATAATGAATGACAGAAATCAAAACTATTACATGTAAAGTAGTGCTCAGATGATTGCATTTACATATTTTAGCGATTGTAATAACTCACTTACATCTTAATATTTCATTCAGTGTTTATAGCAGGCACATTTGATCGTTATGATCCTCATATATTTAAGACAAGGAAAACAAAAAAGTGTGAATCTTCGGCTAATTAGGTTTGTTTTTATATCCGCTCTTAGAAATGCCATAGATGTTTACTCCCTCTTATGTAATTTGTGTAATGAAACCTGCAATAGCAACAAAAAAACAACTATCTGTGAACCCAACATATACTTATCATCTTTTAGGCAAACTCATTTTCTGTTTAACTTCCCCGCATTATGGAGCAACATTATCATTCATTCAGATAATCATTCTTTTTTTAGAAGAAACATCTTATATAACAGTTTTTTTCAGTGTTTTACTATGTTCACCAGCTAGTTGCTTACTAGGCCGTCTGAGCTGGTAATGTTCGGAGCTTATTTTCTTCTGAAAGGAGCTGCTTAATTCCCTGTGTGCTTGTGCCCTTGCAGATACTTATCACCCGTCTTGTGTCACATGTATTGTCGCAGTCATCTTTTACTTTTCCTAAACTTTCTCAAGTGAAATTATCATGAGTCATCCCACCTCCCGTCAGTGTCTTGTTAAGGGCAGGGTTTAACCAGATGAGCACTCTGTTACTCATACAGTGTGTTAAATGATAGGCAAGTGTCTTCACAGTGTTTCATTCCTTTGAGCTTGGGTGAAACAGTGAAAATCTGAGACACTGCAGCACAGCCAAGAATAAACAACCAGCTTCATTTTGGCACCGTTTTTAGGGGAGTGCACAGCTTGGTGGTGGGTCGGGGGTGGATATGCCCCAGCATATTGTATAGTAACAGCCCACTCTCACAGACAGAGAATAAGGTGAGCAGACATTGCCTTCACTATTGATTATTACCCAGGTAATTGGTTATTGATTACTCCCAGCTTTCTTGTCTGTGTCCGAGGGGAACTGTACAGTACGATCATTCAGTTTGGGATTGAGTTTTGTTTTCTGCCAAATCTCATTTCAGTATGGAAGATTTAGCTGCATGTACAGGGGTAAATGGAAAGTCCAAAACAGATGAATCAGCTTCTCCTGCTGCTCACGGTGTCGACTCGTACTGCGGATCCTGCCTGAGAAGCATCACGCGCTGGATACCTGTGGACTTCAAGAATGAAATTGTTCACTTTTTAAAACTGGCAGGGCCTGTGGTAAGATTGTGTTTGGATGGAAATCAACTCTTTGTTCATAAGACCAATCATTTTCAGAGCTTGAGGTACTTAGTCTGCAACAATATTCAGAGTGACTGAGTGTGACTCATAATTACTCCATCAGTTGTTGAGGCTGTTAAGATTGTACATTTTTCAAAAACGGCTGTAATTGAGAGTATTTTACCGTAGAAGTCACTTATTACCATGATAAAAGTGAATACAACTGAGTTGCCTTTGAAAAAGGCTTAAATTGCTTCGTTTTCCACTTGGGGTTTGTGCTGTAGCAGTAATTATTTTCAATTTGCCACCTGCTTTAATAAAGCAGTCATTAACAGGGTAATAACTGCAAACCATTGGGACTAATTGGACAAAGAATTGCCTGGCTAGTAATAAAAGTGTGGCATCATTTTAACTAAAACAGATTACAGTGGTTTAAATAGATGCATTAGAGGAATCACTAGCTCAATTATCAGACACATTCAGTGTGATATGTTGGCTGTACTCATTAAGCACTTGAAGACGTTTTAGATGTTCAAAGGTAACCCTTAAATGACTTCAAATTGCTTTTATAAACAGTATATATAGTTACTCAAACTCATTGACTTTCGAACTGTATTTTTGTAAGTGTCTCTCCTGAAAAGAAAATTATACATTTTGAGAGGAAAGAAAAATAGTTCAGCATGTATCCACTTTTCCCTGCCTTCCACTTCGTGCACAAAGCCAGTTCTTGATAGATGAGGACATTTCGTTTTCTTTTGTGAAAACCTTTTGATGCCAAAGGCTGTCAAAAACTTACACCAGCAATCACCAGAACTAGAAAGAAAAGAGAAGTAGTGAAGACATTCAGAAATACAAAGGAGCTGCAGTAAAACCAAAGCATAACACACGTCAGCTGCCAATGAGTGGATAATAACTCTGTCAGTCACTTTACGGGCTGCATGTGGAGTTTCATGTCTCATTCATGTTTGTTGAAGTTCATTAATTTCCTTATAGTTATTCAGACGAGCATGATTTTGTTTTCCAGGTTATTTCACAGATGATGAGTTTCCTGATCGGCTTCGTCAGCATGGTGTTCTGCGGACACCTGGGGAAAACAGAGCTGGCGGGGGTGGCGTTAGCGATAGCCGTGAGTGATGTTAACGCAGTTTAGCTTAAGCTGTTTTTGGCAGTCTGTTTGACTGTCATTGAAATGGAATGTAACTACTTGTGTGTATATATACATGGGTAACGCTGGGTATATACTGTATGTGCATGTACAAATATATTTATAAAGTCATCCATCTGTTTTCTTGATGAAGTATGAATTGAAGCAACTGGAAGACATAACAAGAACACATCTTATTCTTGATTAGGACTTGTTTATGCTTTTGTTCTGTTCTTATTTTATGTAAAGCGTATTTGAGCATTAGGAAAAGCGCTATAAAATCCTATGTATTATTATTTTTATTCTAATTATATCTTAGCCCCTTGTGCATATCATTGCCTTTTTTTAAAAATCTTTAACTTAAGATATATGTGTTTACATTCATTTCTATTATTTATTTTTCTTTGTTTCTTTGTTGTGTTTTACCTATAGCTTACTTAATTTGAAAACATGAATTTGTATTCTGAGCGAAGTGCATCTATTAATGAAGTCAATATCAAGTATGAATCAAGTATTTAAAAAATAATTTAACTACTTGGTTGATTTGAATTATCTATCAATTCATGAATCTGTGTTTTATTTTTCTCTCTTTTCAATAAAGGTAATAAATGTCACAGGTATTTCCATTGGCTGTGGTTTGGCTTCAGCATGTGATACTCTCATATCTCAGGTATTATATTATTACAACCAGGTCAGTGCTGACCAGTTACCGCTGCGTTCACACTATGCTCCTACGGATCTGTTTTTTTGTGTCAAATTGCACACGAGTAAGCGTTATTTATCTTTCTTGTTTTTCCGACCCGTTCCCTTTAGACCTATGGGAGCGGTAACCTGAAGCGCGTAGGAGTGATACTCCAGAGGGGAGTTCTGATTCTGCTCCTAGCCTGTTTCCCCTGCTGGGCCGTACTCATTAACACTCAGCCCATTCTCTTGGCTGTCAGGCAGAGCACAGAGGTCGCCAGGTGAACCCTCTGCACTTCAAAATCAGTGCATTATAAAAGCATAAACTGACATTGAATGCTTCATATACACTCTTCAATCATGAATCAAACAATTGTGTTATTTATTGCATGTTTTCACCATTTCCCCCTTCTTTTGTCTATCCTAAAGACTCTCCCAGCTGTATGTTAAGATCTTTATGCCAGCTCTGCCTGTGAGTTCGTCTTCCTTCCACATTTTTTCCTAAAATATTTTGTTTATACACATGAATGTCTTAAAGAGGTCATATTATGCTTTTTGGGGTTTTCCCTTTCCTGTAGTGTGTTCTATAGGTTTGTGTGCATGTAAATGGTTTGCAAAGGCTCAAATCCCAAAGTTGCCTCCAGAGGGAATTTCTCTCCCACTCGTCTGAAACGCCTCCATTGGACTCCTTTGTTGACTTCTGTAACATAGTGACATCACTATAACACTCGCAATTGTTGATAGACATGATAGACTAAGGGGCGGGTCATCTCTAAGTGGTTGACGAATCACAACAGAGCTGGCCAGCTAACCAATCAGAGCAGACTGGGCTCTGGTTTCAGACAGAGGGTGAAAAGAGGTGCTGCAGCACAGACAGTATGAGGAAAATAAAGACCCTTTTGAACATTAAAAGTCACAGAAAAGTCACAAAATACAAAAATGAACCTGAAAATGAGCATAATATGTCCTCTTCAGATGATTGTTGAGTTGCATTATTGAGCCTTTTAACCTCATTCATCGCCTCATGTTGGATTCTGCAGGCTGCCTTCATGTACCAGCTGCAGCTGAGGTATCTGCTGAATCAGGTGTGTTTGATGTCTGCAAGACCACTGATGTGAAACTAAATAATGACTGAAAGTTAGTCTGTAATCAGATCATTTTGTGTGTTAGTAAGGAGTGTGTGAGAGTAATACGAAGCAGGTGGAATGATGTGTTTCTTTTAACAAGCTTACTTTGGCTCACAGGGCATCATGTGGCCCCAGGTGATTTCCGGAGCCATGGGGAACATTTTAAATGTAATAATCAACTACATCTTCCTCAACCGTCTGGATCTGGGGATCACGTGAGTACACCCACCAGCGTACTCCTTAACTGAGTCATAATCTTTTCTGTTTTAACCAATCAGTGTATAAATTAGAGTAAGGAGATTGTATGTTTATGAGTCATTCTTAATAGTCATCAGGGGGAGTTCTTTGTGCGACTGCAGTGACTACATGCTTTGTTTTTCTACCTCCTTTGTTTTGACACCACCAAAGTGGATCTGCAGCTGCCAATGCCATCTCTCAGTATTCCTTGGCTGTGTTCTTGTTTGTTTACATCTGCTTCAGGGGGCTGCACAAAGCTACATGGGACGGTAGGTTCAGGGGATAAAACTATTGTAGAGATAACTTTCTTTTGACTGTTACTTCCTCATGATTGCATGATTAAATATATCTGCGAAAAATGTGGTGCTATTTATCAGGAAAGCAGAAACTATTTGTTCTATGTCCTATATATATGTTGCACTGTTGGAGGAGCCTGTGACCTGAGTTTTTCATTGCCATATCTATACTGTAGCTATGCACACATGACAATAAAAGCCTTGAAAGTTGATAAGGGAATTTTGCATAGTTATAATTACATTCATTTTGAGTCTTCATACATCCTAGTAGCTCGATATGACTGTTGTTGGGCACAGTTCTGAAGCAGCATAACCCACTAAATAATTGTTAGAAGCTTATGTGTGGAGGTTTTGTTCAACATGTTTACAATCTTAGTTTTGTGTTAGCACGTTTGCTAATTAGCACTAGTTATGTTAGGGAGATTCCTCTGACTAAGCCAACTAACATAACAAATAAAACAGATAAACGTGTGCAAGAGAATGTTTTATCACACTATTGAATGAGGGCTTTAGGTTCAGTTTTTGCATTGTAGACAACATCTGCATTTCCCATGATCCATCCTCCCTCCTGTCGTCTCCTAGGCTGGTCAGCAGAGTGCCTGCAGGAGTGGGGTCCTTTCCTCCGCCTGGCCATCCCCAGCATGCTGATGCTCTGTCTGGAGTGGTGGCTGTACGAGATCGCAGGGTTCCTGGCGGGCATCATCAGTGAGGTCGAGTTGGGAGCTCAGTCTATCGTTTATCAACTGGCTTCTATCGCTTACATGGTAACTGCCTCACACATTGGTCTTTCTCTTTATTACGTTATCCTCAATTGTTTTGGATTGATATTGAGTAATAGAACAAAATGCATGATCATTTGTTATTTTTTTAGGTTTACAGAACGTTTTATATTTGAAACAGATAATGAACAGGAATGTACAGCATTAAAAACATACAATCAATAAAGCATAAATTGTCCTTTTGCCAGACCACAGAGCCCTGCTGTTATTGTTCATAAGCAATGAGGTCCTAAATAAGTTGTAAAAGGATAAAAAACTTAATAAAAGTGAAAATGTTCCTATCTTAAATCTGAGAGCTTTAGGAGGCATAAACTCAAACAAACTACTTATAAACCGTGTGACGTTTGGGTGTTCCTTCAACACCCACTTTTTTTAAACGCACCTCCTAGCACAGAACAAAATGATTTTCAAGAGTTTAAATATAGATTTGGAGAAATATTTGTATTTCAGTCTATTCAAATATTTGTATGAATTAATTGTTTTTCTATATTTTTTTCATCCTGTCCAACACAGTTTCCGATGGGTATCTCCGTGGCTGCCAGTATTCGTGTTGGAAATGCTCTCGGTGCCGGGAACACAGAGCAAGCCAAGCTGTCCAGCAAGGTCTCCTTCATCTGTGCATGTATGGATCAAATTCGTAGCCTGACAAACCATCATGTACCAAAACAAAAGGCAATGGCTGCTGTGTGGAGATCTCCTTGGATCTTGGATCAAAGTCATGTGCCCTGTTTGTCTATTTAAATGTACCACTTTGAAGTCATCTGTCACCGGTTGATTACAAATAAATGGTACTCCACTTTATGCTTTTATATATTCCCCAGCCTTGTCTAACAATGTGTCTTTCTCTCCCTTCCAGGTTGTGTCTCATGTCTCATCGGAGTAGTTCTTATTGTGTTCAAGGATTTGGTTGGTTACATTTTCACCACAGAGAAGTACGTACATATGTTCGCACAATGAGCTTGTGACGAAGTGTAATTCATCATGTATTAACTTCAGAGGTGACCCATATCAGCAAAGTAAACTTGGACATTTTGTTTAATGCGTCATCACTACCGGAGGCAGGCAGTTTTAATGCTAGTATAAGTCTATTGACTTTGTACTAAGCTGTCTTTCAGTATCAAACATTTTAATATTTGCATTTTTCTTTCAGAGACATTATTCAGAGGGTGTCAGATGTCATGAAGATGTACGGCGTAATCCATGTCGCTGAAGCCATTGCGGTTAGAAACTTTTGCCACATAAATCACATTATTTCTCTGCAGAGCGAACGGAACCAAACTTTTTTTTTTTTTTTTTTTACATTTCTCTTTATCTCATCTCCACAGGGTGTGACCGGAGGTATTGTCAGGGGGACAGGGAAACAAATGATTGGTGCTGTGTGCAACTTGGTGGGTTTCTACTTGATTGGGCTCCCCATTGGAGTGTCTCTGATGTTTCCTGTTCAAATGGGCATTGTAGGTAAGGGTAAAAAAAATTATAATATAGTGAAAATGTTGACACATTTTTACTCAAACTAATTAACAGCCCTCTTTCCATCTCTGTCGCAGGGCTGTGGTCTGGGTTATTAATTTCCGTTTTGATACAGTCTGTTTTTTTTATTGTTTTCCTGTGTAAACTAAACTGGACAAAGGTCACAGAAGAGGTGAGTAACTCTGGTTTAATTATTACAGTGCAAAGTTATTGTACAAAACAAATATCTACAGTGTAGACAGCATGATAATACTGTAGCTTGTTTTCCTGTGACTTTTCAATATAAAATATTCTTTGTTATTGTTTTAAATATCTCTGAATAGGCGCTGATAAGAGCTGGAGTCCACATTACAGAGAGGAACAAGATCTTCGGGATAGAAAACAAAGGTAACACCAGTAGCTGTTAACTTTATCTATAGCTCAATATGGATGTCTTCTCACTGGTAACTATTGCACAACAGAAATTAAACATGTTTTCAAATCCCCGACAGCCCCGGACTCTGGTGAGAAACAGGGCCACGTACGATCCAGTTCTTTGAGTGGTGTGGAGGGGAAGCTGGAAGGTCAGCAGACTTCAGATGACGTGGTTCTGTCAGTCAGGCAGCTGGTGGTGCGACGTGGCCTCGCTGTGCTGCTCATGTTCATCATCCTCGCCGCTGGAGTCTTCATCAGCGAGCTCCTCATCAGACTGCTAGAGTTAGACGGGTGACCATCATCAGACCTCCTGTCTGCAGCATGAAACAAGCTCTGTGAGTGTGCCTCCAAAGGTACAGATGCATCTTCATTTGTAGTAGAAAAGCATGTCAATCAGAGGAAACACTCAAACCTACATTCAACTACAAAATGATACATTCAACAATGTCTCTACAAGATGATGTGATTATGATGAGAAGGTCAAATCAGCCTTCATTTCAGCATCATGAGCAATTTGTAGTGACACATCTCCACTTTTATAAAACGTATGTCCATCTATTATGCACTAATGATCAGCAAATAGCTGCATCACAATAATAAATGTTACACAAGTCAAATTGTTTCATAACTGCATTAAATAAGGTGAATTATTGCACCATTTAGAGAAGTTGTTGAATTCATGTATATCGATTTTAATTCATTTACCTTCATTACTTCATACATAAGGGAATTTATATATTTTAATAGTATTTATTTCTCTAACCCTATTAATACTTCAAACTCACTCACTAATGAGTTCTGATATTAGTCATGTTTTGGAAAATCTGATAAGAGAACTTGACTGAAAACATGCTGTGTAAGAAGGTTTCCTTTTGAGACACTGACGAAATGTATGTTCTTATTGTGAAATACATAGTCTGAATGGATGCCACAATTAGAAAGAGCATGATTAAATGCTATATTTAGAACACAGCGCATTCGTGGATGTGTGCTTTCATCATCAAAGACAGAAGAGCTGTTCTTTCTCTTTGGTTTATTTCCGTTCCCTTTGATCTGTGTTGACAAATTTGACGATAATGAAAGGTCTGTACGCTCACACTGCATCGTGCTGGCTGGATGAAGACATGTCAAACTGAGCAAATCAACCAGTCACCTGTTCACTCTGTGCAGGAGCAGATAACTAGCTAGCTCAGGCTTCACAGTTGTGGGCTGCTCACAAATAAAAATTCCCCTTGGTAACAGCAAACAAGTAACCCTGTGTGATTTTTCGGAAATACGTGCATGGTGTTCCTCTACAAATCCATTAAAAGCAATGGGGTTTTGGGAGATACTCTTGATTTGAGTTATAAGAAAAGACTGGGTAACACTTTATATTAAGGTACACAAATTCACCATCAACTAGTTGTTCATTAACATGCTTAAAATATATATATAATATATATTGGCTCTTTATTAGTCATTATAAAACACTTATTAATGCCTTATTCTACATGACCATATTTTACAAGTAATAGGCCATTAGTTGAGAGTTTTTCCTCAATAACCCTCTAATTAGTGCTTATTTACTGCAAGTAAGGATGTTGTTGTGCATGAGTTTTGGTCTTAATATGCTCTGCTCAATATGGGCCTAATAAGGCAGTAGCACCACAAGAATAGTAATTCTCCCATAATAACACTTAACAAATATGATCTATTCTTATGTAACAAGACATTCAACTATAAGTGTTAATTGTGTCTAAATAACTCAAAATTAAGTATTTATATCTAAGAATATGTTCCCTAATAAGTGTTTTATAATGACTAATAAAGAGCCAATATACTGCTAATATGCATGTTAATTAACAACTAGTTGATGGTGAATTTGTGTACCTTAAAGTGGACCTATCATGCTATATTTGAATAATATAGTGTAGGACCATACCTATATAAGGCATATTTATACTTTTTCTTTTTCAAAATACCAAACAGATCATGCATTTTAGCCATGCCTCATTTTGCTCAATTTGACATTTTTTAGCTCTGTTTTAGCAAGGGCAGATTCAGTGAGAACAGCACCACCTACTGGCCTGGCATATGTACTACAGCGTCTCCAGCGCTTTCGAACGGCAATGCCGTGGCCGTCTCCTCCTGATTGGTGGAGTTGGCCCAATAGCCGTAGCGCCACCGTCCTGACGTCAGGACAGTGTTCAAATCTGGATCAGTTTTTATCAGATCCGTTGCAGCCCCTTTTTTAGAGATTTGGGTATGGAGGAAAATAGAGAGGGTTGTGTTTTCTGACACTTGGTGAGTTCCCTGGAACACCGGGGACACATATTCATGTATAAAAGACGTACAAAAGTGCATTTTGCATGATAGGTCCCCTTTAATATAAAGTGTTACCAAAGACTGATACCACTCATGTCTGTAGCTGAGAGTATCTAGTCTAGTTGTATTTAAGCCCTCCTGAAGGGACTTTTCTTTGGTACAGACTAACAACTTCACATTTTGACAGACTCATTTCATTATGTTAAAACGTCAAAAGAAAATTCATCTTCCAGGTATCCATAAAAGTCTCAACTCCACTGTACAGAGCCAACGCACTCTCCAAACTGACATCGTCACCACAGCCTTGCAAAGCAGTCCCATAAAAAAAACATGCATATTAATTTGACGTTATTCAACATGTAAATCAGTCTTGATTCATACATGGTTACGTCTGAGCCTCTGTGTTGCTCATCAGCGCAGACATTGTCCCCGGCTCCTCACAGAGACCCGCTCACCTCCGGAGACTGCAATCAGTGACATGCTGGGGCATCATTAACAAGTGACGCTGGGAAGATTTGCTGTCAGTATCTTTAGACTACAACTTGCGATACAGTGGCTAAAAGATATCTCATAATAACTTCTTTAGTGTTGTGTTGCCATGCAGTATAATAACATACCGAAGTGCAGTGGAAGCTATTGCATTATCCAGTTGCATTACAGTCCAGATGGTCCTGCCGTATTTACCTGAATCCATTTTCCGCGTCTTTTTTGCTATCTTTTTAACCTGAATCTCTTTCTCAGAATCAGAATCAGAAACAGAAACAGGTTTATTACCAGGTAGGTTTACACGTACGAGGAATTTGACTTGGTGTCGTGGTGCATAAAAACAAGAATTAAAAACACAAGTAGAAAACTAGAAAAATATTGCAAATATATAGAAAAATATAACAGTATTTACATTGCAATGGAATAGAGGAATAAAATATGGAATACAAATCAGCTGTAATACAAAATATTGTTGTACATTGTTTGCATTTATATTTGTCATTGATTGGTGAGTTCTGCTGTCAAGTGCCAAACTGAAGCGCAGAGGCTGTCCGTTAAGAGCAGTGGCTAAATAATCACTTTCACCTTAAACCACTTATTAAAGCATATCTGAATCCATAACATTTAACAACTAAACCTTATCCGAGTCTTTTTTAGTAACATAATTACCAGCCTTCTCTCTCAACTCTCAACCTTATGTGTTGGCTAAAGAACTACTAGTAATCTATTAATCCCAATTACGACTATAAAAACACTATGAGGGAGATATTGTGTGCGTTCAGCTTCTTAATGGCTGACATACTACTCTTCGATGTTTTTACATTTTCTAATTAGACTAAAAATCATATGTTTAATTTGTTGTAGTTTCTTCCACAGTATAACTGGCTAACAGGCTTTTTTGTATGGCATGTCTCGAATTGTTTTACATGTAGCAGTGTATTTGCAATCGCCATCAAACTTGCCCTTACACAGTGTTAAGAGGGCGTTACAGATGCTGATAATAAACAATCTTTCACGTGCATCACATTTTTACCATTAGGTGGGATTCATTGTTTGCGTAACACCACATGTGGATGATTAAGAAAGTTTTGTGCAGTTCTGAAATTGACGTATTTTATTTTTACGAATGCTGCCTGAGGCCTGTTGTGTTCCTGGTATGAATGGACATTTTCTTTGATAAGACTATAACATATGACAATAGCCACTTAAGCAGCCTTTTACTGATGCATCTACTTTACTAGGACTAGCATTTACTGTCCACCATACGAGTCTCCTGGATGCTGTGACTTCAACAGCAGGGTTCAACATAATTTATATTTCTTCCTTACAACTACTTATTAAAAACCCTTGAAGATGAGTTCAGTCTGTAGTCTACAGTTCAGACTACAACAAACGTCTTGGGGAAATAATACATATTGGCTTCCCTGTGTTAAGTTTTTATTGTTAAAGTATTTTTTGTATTGATTAGGGTTCAATCAAATGGCAGTCATACATAAACAGTAAAAAATAATTAGCTTATTATTTATCAATCACCTCTGTCCTGGAGTTTACCAGGAGTGGCAGTGATATAGGAAGACAATGCAATAATATACTCATGTTACATATTTACATTTAAACATGTACATTTTACATCAGATATTTACAGTCATCTTACACTTACAGTTAAAACACGACAAAATGATTTGAGGTCAGTGCAAAACATAAATCAAGGCAAGAATAAGGGGAGGAAAATCAAAAGCTGTCTGTGGAGGAACACTCTAACCCACGGGGTCTCCTAGTGAGGGATTTATAATGTGTCTCGTGATCCCAGTTGAACATCTCAGGCTGGGCAAAAAAGATGATCTTTGTAGCAAGACCTTTGTTCATCCTGCCAGTCTCATTTAATATTTCTTCCAGCTTTCTTTGGCTCAGCAGTGCAGCACTGAGGCGTATTTTCTTTCCCTGACACGTCAGGCTGTAGTTTTACAAAAAACAACCCCGGTCTACAAGCATAACTATGGATGTTAGGCTTTTTTCCTGTAGGAGATCTAAATTGTCAGTTTATGAGAACTGAGCTAAGCCACTCGAGACATTCAAAGACAGCTCAGATGTCCTGGTGTAGTGGAGACAGTGGTGTAGGGGTGGAGTCATTATTCCAGTTCAAGGTGAAGTTGGCACTGTTCTTGGCGGAGAACTCAGGTACAGGGAAAGCAACGTGGAAAGCCACACCTGTGGCCAAAATGAGAACTGAAATAACAAGGATGAGCCCTCTGCGCAGGATCAGCTCAGTGACTGAAAGCAGTGTTATAGTTTTGGTGTCTTTGGAAGTCTTTTCGCTCTGCTCAGCGTCCCGCTCGGCTCCTACTGCATTGATGTTGTTGTCCTCTGCCTCAGGAAACACTTTCAGCTCCTGATCCTTGGAGTTGACTGGACAGTAGCCATCTGATTTCAGGGCTTCGCCATCCAACTCCTTCGGAGTGCAAAGAAGTTGCTGTTAATCAATGTATGAGTAGCTAAAAGATCATAAACAGGGACAAAGGAGGGAGAACATCCTGCTTTACTCCACACCACATACTGTAATGCACTCACTGTGATAGGGCAGTCAGAGATGTCCGGCACCATCGCTTCATTTAGCAGAGTACTGATAGGGCGCTTTGAGCTCACCACCACTCCTCTTCCACCCCGCAGTTGAGCCTGAAAACGCATTAAAGTGAGTTTTATGAGGGAAAATATTTTATAGTAAAAGTATTGGCTTTATTTTTACTTTATTTTGTATTTACTTAATTCAGTCATTTGTAGCATGTTTGAGTGTGTATTCAATGTTCTGCTTCAACGTGTAGGGTATTCTGTTTATTCTAATGAGTGAAGAGAGATAACTGTAAAAGCTATTCAAATGAA